TGCCGCAATCCCTTCTCCTCCATTCTCCTCTCGGGATCTTGGGCACGCACGCACACGCGCCCAGCGTGAGTTTTAAGCCACCAGGTCTGGGACGCGAACCACAGTCGACTACGTGGGAGTCCAGCAACATAGCCATTACACTAACTGCTGGTTCCCCTCATTAAAATGTTTTAAGAAAATTATTATTTACAATTCCTTGTAGAGGCCGGTAGATAGCATAGTGGTTAAGGCACTGGACTTGCACATGTCTGAACGTGGTTCCTGGAGGATGTGGAGACTTAAAAATCATGCTGGGTGTGTGTGGGTGCGCACTAAAAATCTCAGGAGGAAAACAGAGGAGAAGGGATTGCAGCCTGGCCATTCCCGCTGGGGAGTGACTTCTCACTTTCTCTCTGTCTCTGTCTCTCTCTCCAGAGAATTAAAGTGTCCTGTGGCAAAAACCTTAAAAAACAAATATCCTTGTAAATATACAAATCTGAGAGATAATGCAAATGAGAAATATACTTTGAGAAAGTAGAGAGATCATTTTAATAAAAAGGATATTTTGGGATTATGAAACTTACTGAGTCATAAAATTCAAATTAGTAGTAAACTATCTTTTAGCCTTTTTCTACTTACAAAAATTACAGAGTAAATGAAGAAAATGTGGTATTTTCAGAAATTCAAAGCTTACCTATTGATTGTGGAGAATCCATATATGGGTTACATTTCGCATAGTGGGAGCGGTCTGTCGCTAGCATAACTTCAAATACTTTATCTGTCTTGATGATTCCATTTTCTGAAATGAATGAAGCAAATATTTTGATTAGATATATTGGGTTGTTGGGAAAGTCATGATGCTTTTTTTTTTTAGAGAGAGACTTTTGCTATAGAGTGCATGTGATCACTAGAGAAACAGAGAGAGACAGACAGGAAGTGAGAATTCACCCCACAGGGGTATGGCCATGCCACAATCCCTTCTCCTCCATTCTCCTGTCAGGATTTTAGGCACATATGCATACATGTCTGGCCTGAGTTTCAAGCTGTTGGGTCTGGAACTTGAACCATGGTCCACCATGGAGGAGTCCAGCAACATGTTACCCCATCTGCTGGTCCTCAGTCATGATGCATTTTTGTATAGAAAAGCACATCATGACATTCCCAATAACCTAATAATTTAGAATAATAATTCTGCACTGTAAAGACTGGACTGGAAGAGAGCAAGATTGGAAGTCTTGGCCCAGGTAAAAGCAACCTGGTCTTTAATAATGAAAATAAGGATGGAGAAAAGTAGAAAGATTTGAGTTAGGGACCAGCAGTTAGCATAATGGCTATGTCGCTGGACTCCCACGTAGTCGATCGCTTTTCGAATCCCGGACCTGGTGGCTTAAAACTCACGCTGGGCATGTGTGCATGCGTGCCCAAGATCCCAAGAGGAGAATGGAGGAGAAGGGATTGCAGTGTGGCCATCCCCCCCCAGGGGGTGATTTCTTGCTTTCTATCTCTCTGTATCTGTCTGTCTGTCTGGCGAGCGCACATGCCCTAAAGCAAAAACCTCTCAAAAAAAAAAAAAAAAAAGATTTGAGTTATAGTAGTAGGCAATGTATATCTGACTGGATATGGGGTTGGGGGTGGGAATAATGGTTGAGATTTAGATGTCATTGGCTGACTTGGGAAATCCTGGAGAAGGGCAGAGTAACGGAGGGAAAGGAAAAGGTATCTATTCAGTTAAAAGCTATGGATCAAACAAGTGGAGATATTCAGCAATCAGATGGACACATGAATCAGAGTTCAGGAAAGAGATCTAGGATAGAGCTACAGATTTCTATTACACAGATGGCAATTAAAGCAATGGAAATAAATCAAACATGGCTGGGAGGCGGGAAAAAAGCCAACATTTAACAAATAGGCGAAGGAAGTAGGGCATTCAAAGATGAGGAGGAAGGGGGGCTGACAGGTGGCATGGTGGTTGGGACTCCCACACAGCCAACCGTGGTTAGAGTCCCAGACTTGGTTACTTGCTTTCTCACTTCCCCACTCTCTCTCTATCTGGTCAAATTAAAATAATAATAGTTAAAAATAATTATTCTTTAAAAACAAACAAACCAAAAAATCAAAGATGATGAAGAGGAGCAGTCCACAGAGGGAGGAAGAAAACCAGGCCAATACACTGTTATAGTGCCCAAGAAAAGTGAATTTTCCAAGAAGGAAAACAAAGTCAATAACAAATTTGACTTCCACAGCAAAAGTTTGTTCTTAGAGATTAAATAAATGTTGAATTTCAACAAACCTCATGATATATTTATTATTTAATAAAGCATGTATACACTTATTATTTAATGTATATACTTACATGTATAGACTTATTATTTAATAAAGCTCTTAAAGTAATTCAATGGCTGTTGACCACTTACTATATAACAGACACAATGCTATCCACTTAGGATACAAGAATAAACAAGACAGCATAGTTCCAGTTCTCACAGATTTAAAATCTGTAAGATTAAATATATAAACTTAACTTTAATTTAGCAATCCAGAAATAAACTAAAAATTTTAAACCAAAACATGTTCTGCTTAATTTTGGCTACATTATGAATAGATATCTTAAACTGAAACTACTTCAGTAAAAGCATCATAAGACTTTAAAATATTTATGCAAACTAATTAATTTACCAACCATGGAGTTCAAAAACTACCTAAACAAGGGTTATAGAGAGAGCCCCTGTGACCTAATGGTTAAGGGAGGGAACCAGATCCCATATGGCCAACTGCAGTTTGAATTCTGGCTAGTGGCTTAAAGAAACATGTGAGTTAGTGGGACCAGCAGTTAGCGTAATGGCTATGTCAATGAACTCCCATGTAGTTGTCGACCATGGTTCGAGTCTGAGACCCAGTGGCTTAAACTCACACAGGGCGCGTGTGCATGCTTGCCCAAGATCCCAAGAGGAGAACGGAGGAGAAGGGATTGTGGTGTGGCCATCCCCCCTAGGGGGTGATTTCTCGCTTTCTATTTTTCTGTCTGTCTCTGACATTCTGGCGAGCACACATGCCCTATAGCAAACCACCCGCCCCCCTCCCAAAAAGCAACATTCAAAATGAAGTAAGAATATAGCAATGTTTTGAAGAAATTCAAGGGAAGTGCAAGTCAATAACAAAAAGGAACACTACACACAGCTCTTAAGATATGAACTTATGGGGCTGGCAGGTGGCATAGTGGTAAAAGGCGCTGGATTCTCACAGAGCTGAATGTGATTCAAGTCCCCAACCCAGTGGTTTGGTTTCTCACTTTCCCTTTCTCTTTCTCTGTCTCTTTCTGGTCAAATTTAAAAAGCAGTAATAACAAATGGAATTAATTCTTTTTTTAAAAAAAAGATATAAACTTATTATAAACTTCGAAATAATTTGCATCATCTCTATTAAGCCTATAAAGTAGGTACTATTATGCCATTTTAGAGATGATAAAACTGAGGTTAGAAGGACAAATTAAGTAGCCCAAGATCACAGAGCTAATAAGAGGTAGGGCCACTCAGATTGAGACGGTAGGTTCCTACGGCTCACATCACTGCACTACTAACATACAGTATTCAAGTAGCTTGGTGAGTAACAGTAATTCATTCCCCAGAATAATTCTTGAGTGGTTCATGTGCCCTGAGATTAATTAAAATTCCAGAGAGGTGAGACATGGACATTCATGGCCACAACAGGACTTAGAAGCCATCAAGCCTCCCTTCTTCATAAATTAGTACCACACACTCTACTGTAAGAGTTCCACTAATGTGGTTCTTTCTAGTTCAAGGAATAGCCCTGTCTATATTTAGACCATTCTGATCACTGGAAAATTTCTCTGTATTAAGACGAAATCTTCCTTTTTATAAATTACTCATATAAACCCTTAAGGTTACTATCTTAAGCTACATGGAATATACTGAATTTCTTACTTAGCCGACCTTTTGTACACATCTGAAGATAAATCATGATCATCCCAAGGCCTTTTTTCCCCCCTTCAGGCTAAGTAGCTCCACTAAGCACTCTCAATTATTCATCAGTTTTTGAAATAATCATCATATTCACCTTATTCACTCTTTTCTAGATGAAGCCTTAAAAGTATGACATCTTAAATCACATACATTATTCAAGGCACATTCTAAAAAGTCGAAGTAAATTAAAGGGATCACTTCCCCCACCTTTGGTAATATATTGTATTTTTATCAAACTCACGTGCATTTCTTTGGCTCCTTTATTACTCTATAACTACAGTGTCAAAGAGAATTTACTAAAACTCCACATTGTTTTTAATAGCTTATAATCAGTCATTTACAAAAAGGCTCAGAACAAAAAGCTTTATTAGGCCTTTACTGAGTGATTTCTAAAATTTTCCCAAGATTTCCTTATTGTTTCTTTTTGCCTAGGAGTCCCTATTTTGAAAGATGCCTAAAGTAAGCTCCATTTACTAAGTTATTAAATCATCTTCCTATGTTGGGTAATCTATGACATATATAAACTTCCAGTGCCCTGAAATATTTCTAGCAAACACCAAAGTAATTTGATGTTTTACTCTGCATGCATACCCTAATTAGGAGTAAACGTGCAATTACTATTAGGCTTTCTGAAATAGTGAACAGCTTGAGAACTCCCATACTCGATCTGCTTGCAGCCCTACGGCCCAAGAACCCTAATTAAATAATTATAATAATAACTAATGTTGATCCAAATATACAATTTATCTAAAATGAGAAGTCAGGAGGGCTCAAAAAAGAAAATGCAATAGAATGCTAGCTATAATAAAGAGCTTGAAAAAATCAGGGCCATGTTAAGAAAGTATGTTTCTCTTCCCAACTTGAAGGGCAGAAAGGGATACAAAAGATAAATAAAGTTCCTGGAAAATAATAGAAAGATATGAGTCATGATGTATATATCAAGAAAATGAAAACGTGGTGGAAGTTCAAGAAACTGATGAAATGTTCGAAAAGGAAAAAACTATTGCCATTCTTCAATAGCAGAAGAGTCTGTGGAACTGGAAACAAACAGCAGTGGATAAACTCAGAGCATAACACATAGCTCAGCAAAGCACTGACACATTGACACAGCCACCAATATTAACAGTGGTTACCAATTTTCAAATTTTTTCTTTGTTTTTAAAGATTTTTAATTTTATTTGTCATTATTATTATTAATTTGACCAGAGAAAGAGAGGGAGAGAGAAGAAAAGTGAGAAAGTAAGCTGCCAGGTCCAGAATCCAAACGGTGTTAGGCCATGTGGGAGTCCAGCACCTCAACCACCATGCCACCTGCCAGCCCCAACTTTTAAAATCAAAGTGCAGGGGACCAGCAGGTGGAATGGTGGATAAGGCACTGGACACTCCCACGTGGCCAACCGCAGTTTGAGTACTGGACCTGGTGGCTTGCTTTCTCACTTTCCCTCTCTCTCTCTCTATCTCTCTCTCTGTGTATCTCTGATCAAATAAAAACAAATAAGTGAATAAATAAAATTGAACAAATAACTTAAAAAAATCAAAGTACAGAAGATTTTTTCTTGTTTTACTGAATAAAATGTAAATGTTACTATTTCAATAATATAAAAGGCCTACTAGTAAATTGGGAAATGAGAGGGGGAACTCCCTAATATTCTTTTTCACAAAATGAAGGGATTAAGTGGTAGTTTTAGTTTATAAATTATAGAACAAAAAATATAGGTTAAAGTTTATTACTCAAAGTTACAAAGGTAACAATAAAAGAGGAAGCAAAAACGAGGATGTAACTATATGAAGCAAGGAGAGAGATTTGTATTGTTGAGTA